AGCAGGAAGGGGGTGGGGCAGCCAAAGTGAAGGGAGCAGGGGAGAAACCAGAAGATTTAACTGGGGAGAGCAGGGATCTTGAAGGGAGCGTCAAGGAGAGACTCAGCGCTTCTGAGGCTGCAGGGACAGTAACTGTTTCCAGCCCAACATGTGAAAATTAAAAACAAATTTGGCTGGGATAGCAGGCATGCAGACACAACCACTGAGCTACAGATTTGCCTACCCTTCGTTACCTTTAATTGCCAGTAGAGCAAGACTTATAGCAGCTTTCACTCAGCTGCTGAGGAGGGATGGTAGGAAGGGTGAGCAAAATACTGAAACTGCGTTGTGGCCAAATGAGCAGTGAAATAACTGGAGGAGAAAATGATGAGAGCGCAGAAAAAAAGACACATGAAATGCATTTCACGGGGCCGGGCTTACCATCAGAACCAGATGACAGTTACTGTCGGGGAAGAAGGAGAAGGGGCTGACACCATTGCTACAGAAAGCAGCGAGCCTGGTTCAACAGCCCCACACAGGCAAACCTGCAGTGGCTCAGGGAGATGCTGAAGGAGTGAGGGTACACACTCACCTAGACAAGGCTGTACACAAAGTCTCCTGTGTCGCAGGCATCAGCCTGAAGAAATGTCTTCGGCTGAAGACATGCGCCTGCCCCTTTAGATAGGCAGAGGGCCATACGCTACCAGAATGTGATTAAATAGCAGAGCCTTGCTCCTCTCTTTTTTCCTCTCTACTATTCAATTTCTACTACAATCTGTCCTGCGTTTCCTCCCCGCTCCCTCTGGAGTATACCCAGTGTGTGTTCTGGCTTGTTTCCTTCGCAGCCTACCTCTGAGGTTTTGGGTCAACATCCTGAAGAACCCGCAGTTTGTCTTCGACATTGACAAGACAGACCACATCGACGCCTGTCTCTCTGTGATAGCCCAGGCCTTCATTGACGCCTGCTCCCTGTCTGACCTGCAGCTGGGCAAGGTACCGTCCAGAGAGGACATCTCACTGCGGCTCGGGCTGTCATGGCCACGGCCCAGCGCGGGTGGGAAGGGACTGTCAGAAGTCACCCAGTCCAACCTCCTCCAGCAGCAGGGTGCCTGGGAGCCACTTTTGCTCAGGTTCATGCGCTTGAGTTTTGGCTGTCTCCAGGGATGAGGTCTATCCCTCCCTTCCCCACCACTTTGTTCAGGCTTGAGCTTGAAATTTGCACCCCCTCTGCCGCAAACAGTGGTCAGGGAGTGGGAACACGCCGTCACAGGCAGGATGGACAAAGGGCAGGGCCCCAGCTCAGAATGCTCAGAGGATGGAGGGAGACCCAGCCGCTGGCTTGTGTGCTCAGTGTTACCCAGTGGCCGTATGAGCTGTTCCGTGGTCCCAGCAGAGCACCCGGCTTAGCACAGTGTCCGTAACGCTTCCTGACGGGGCTGAGCTGGTGCCCAAGCAGACGAAGAGTCTCTGCTGTTGGCTCAGGCAGGGGTGTAACGTGCCAAGGCGAGCACAGGTGCATGTCAGCTCTGCTCTGGGCGCAGGCACAGGGCACGGGCCGACTCGGCATGGGAGCCCAGCTCACTCATTTATGGCTGGTTTAGGGACAGCGTTAGTCTAACAATCCCTAACAGCAGCTGAGGGACGATGGAAACTCCCAGTGGCAGGACAGAAAATGATGTAGCTTCAGGTGAAGCTTTAATCATCGCTGTCAGTGGTTTCTGCACAGCTTCTCACCTAGGAGAGCCATGAGAAGCTCAGGAGGTGAACCAAGCCTTCCTGAACACGGGCTGCACCTGCCCAGGCAGCACAGACCCGGCCTGGCTCCTGTGGAGGTGTGGGGACTGCCCAGGGCCTTCCCGTTGACGCCATCCATCAGCACGTGGGAAGCTCTTGGGGGGCGCTGCCGTAGCCCTGCCTGTGGAGCACTTGGTGCTCCCCTCTGGTGGCAGTGTCTCCATCACACGCTGGCCACCTCCAGCGCGTGGTCAGAGCCCGGCGGACTCGGCACGCCTGCCCAGGAAGCTACGCCTGCTCCGGGCACAGGCAAGCCTGCGCGGGCCAGGTCTCCCACGCACCATCCTGCGGGGCTGGCAGGCAGCGAGACGTCCAGCGCCATGTTTTCTGTTCTCCCACTGCCTTGGCTGAGCACAGTGTTGACATTTGAAACTTCCCGACTTAAATAAGTTTTATTAAGAAATGCTGTAAATCATCTCCCGCCGCCCCCCCGCCCCAGGGGCTGGCGGCAGCACGGTGTGTGACGTAGAGGGGACCCTATGGAGAGAGGGGCAGGAGACTGGCGCTGCTCAGTGCATCCCTCAGACTGAGAGCAACAGGAAGCCTTCACTGGGAGAGGTTAACACTGGAGGAAGATCTAATGAGCGCTTGATTTTTTTGTTTGTTTGGGTTTTGTACTTTTTTTTACATGTGTTACGAAACACCTACAATTTGTCCTTGTCGAGCTGTGGATGAGGGGAAGAGGGGTCAGCTGGAGTCAGACAGCAGATGGAAACATTTTTCAGGAATACAATAGCATAAGTGAAGGAATTGTTGAGTAATGTGGGAAGAATAAATCCTCAGCATAAAAATCAGCTTGCATATACATGCAGTATATTGCTGAATGTTTTCCAGACTGGATTCTTCCCCGGTTTCAGCATTTTGCTCTTGATGCTGCAAATGTGAGAGCAGACTCAGACTCCATACATCTACAGTGTGCAAGCAGTTAATAAACCAGTATCCATCTCTTCATAATACAGAGAAATCAGACACAAATTTAAAAAGAACTTAGAAAAGAGGCAGCATGGGTTTCTTTTGTGTTTCCAAGGGGAAAAAAAAATGTTGTGAGCAGACTCTGTAACTTGGCTATATTCCTGTAATGCCTTGTCATTGGGTTTGAAAATAAACTGCTGTGGGATCTGGTGCCACAGCCTGGTGCCCATTTCCCGTTTCCCCTGCAGCATTAGCCACGCTACATCTTGCAGCAGCAGATTGCAGTTACCTCGGGCTTCCTTATTTACTGCCCAGTGCAGCTGAAGATGCTGCCTCCACCGCTAGAGCCCTGCCATGCTTGTCTCCTCTGGAGATCCCTCCTCCCCTCTCCACCTGTCAGCACCAGGAGCCCTCCCGCATCCAGTGTCGGGGCGGCGGGACACGTGCATCTTACTCCCCTCTGTGTCCCGGAGCCTGGGGCTGTTTCCCTTGGGGATGCAACGCTAGGCTAGTCAGCCAAGTTCATTCCCGGGGTAATGATATCAGCAGGGCAGGATTGCCTTGAGGTTAAAATCATTCATGCTTGTGTTTGCAAGGAGTGCAGGCAGGGTTATGCCTTCACTGGTACAACCCGATCGTGTGGCTGGGAGGTTAAGGCTGCTTTGTCCAAGCTGACATTAATCAAGAGAACTCAGTATTTTCTGTTAATTACTTTACACGCACTCAATATAGGCCAGGCAGGCTGGGTTAGCCAATGCAAAATAAATCAAAGCTACATGAAAAATCCAAGAGCAACATTTCATCTGACAAAGTTCAGCTTGTAAGAGAGCTTTGTTCTTCGGCTTAAATCAAGCTGGCTGCTCAAGAGACCTGAGCAAATGCATGCAGAAGCCCTTCCCTTGTTACCAATTTCCACACACAGAGCCACAGAGCACAAGTGTTTTATCTAACACAGTTGTGCTACACTCATCTGCAGAGCATCACCCGGCAGCAAGCCACCTCGCCTGACCCTGTGCATGCTTTTTAGCCTGCCCTTGCTGCAAATTAAAACACATTCACACATAGATGACCTTCACTGCCATTGTAGCTAACGAACGTTTAGCTCATGCTAGGAAGAAGGGCAGAGGGACCATGCTGTGGCCCCACAGGCGGGTGGTACCTCTCTGCAGCACCTTGATGTGTCTGAGCCAGCGCCTCTGTCATTAGCTGTTTTGTGCCTCGGTGCCGTCCCACCACACTCCCGTCTGTGGAAAGTGAGGACCAAAGCCATAGCTGTCTCCTGAACCCAGCTGTAGCTGAAGTCGGTGTCTGACGGTTAGCACTTTGGTCAAACAGGATAAGGAGTTTTCAGCCAGGAACAACACGGTGTGATTTTGGTATCTCGCCCTCACTCTAGGACTCCCCGACTAATAAACTACTGTATGCCAAGGAGATCCCTGAGTATAGGAAAATAGTGCAGCGATACTACAAGCAAATCCACGACATGCCCCCGCTCAGTGAGCAGGAAATGAACGCCCACCTCGCGGAGGAGTCGAGGGTAAGGCACGCTGGGCTGCAGCGGGTGGAGGGGGGGGCTTGGGTGG